CCGATGTTCACTTGGTGACTTGCAGTTCTTAAGATTACTACAAATTCAGCTATGAATATGTTATCCATGTGTATATTTGAAGTACTGTAATACTAACTAGGTCAGAGACTGATTATGAGCCTTCACATCTGACAGACCTCAGCAGCAGGCACAGCTATTTTGATTCTATACACTGTATAAAACTTAAATCCAATAATCACTTAACAGTAAATCAGACATGACTGCAAATCGATGCTTACTTTCAGCTTCCTCCAGTAAGAGAACTCAGCTATCCAAACTTATGTACATAATGTATTATATGAGTTTTACCATTTGATAATTACCTTTTTCAAAGAAAACCTGTCCACACTGTAGACTGGCAGTCCCTTTCATATCTTGCCTTTAAAGATAGACAGTGTTTAGTTCTTAGAGTAGTACTCATGTAGGCTTGTAATAGCAGATAGCACCAACATTTTATTCAAAATAGTTAAGTGGATTAATTACAACTTCACAGATATGTCCCCAAACCTGTAGCACCAAAGGCTTCCCTCTCATTGTTCTTGATGTAGTAGGACAGTGTTTGTGTAAAGGCCACAGGAGTACATTTTGTTGGACATATTTACACCCGGTCAAGATGTTAAGGTGATAAAAATGTCAATTGTTCTTTACAAACTTACACATTGTATAGTATACAGAATAAATTGATCTACTTAGTTTTTATTGCAACATGGAGATTTGTCTCGTCTTTACTGTGGTTTCCTGAAAGATACTGCATCCTTCCGTATTCCCTATGGAAAATTTCTAAAAACCTGAATCTTGCTACTCTGTATCATTAAAAAATATGACTGGGCTTTGGTTTCTAGTATGTTAGACTACAGAATTACTTTAATGTAATCACATTTATATATATTTCAGTGCTTATTTTTCTAATAAGGTAATTAAAGCTTATTGTTTGAAAACTCTGTAACAGATTATTGTTTTGGTCCCTTGCACTGAATGAAGGGGATTTCTGGGAATTACCTTGGCATATAGAAGTTTGTGTTGCTATGGACTGAATTGGCCTGAATATGGCAACATTTTCAAGAAACCAAGATGCTGGAACAAGTCCAACTAATTTGACATTCAGTATGACTTAGGAGCTGTACTTTGCTCAACTTCAAGATCAAAGTGGTACATTTACACAACTAGCTCAGTCACCAAGGTCACAGTAAAACCCTCTATACTTTGCAACTCAAGCTGGGGAGAAAAATGGCCAGTTTGAGTAGTGTCATTCAAGTACCATGCTGAGGCAGTGCAAAAGCTGTAATAACACTAGCATTAGTAACCCAAAGTAACTTACCGGAATGGCTGCTTGGGGAGTGGCATCAATCTTCAGGCAAAGACAAACCATTTAAATACAGAGTTATCACCCAAATATTTCTAATTAGAGCTGTGGCAGGTACAGTTACACAGTTACAAAGAAGCTTTATTTAGTGGATATGCTTGCAGAAAACAACCACGTTACCCAGGAGGGAAGCAAGATTGCAATGACTTATTTGCTGGCTGGGGTTTTTGTGAGGTTGGGAAGAGACTAGGGGAGCACACAAGCAGGGGTTTTTTGTTGTTGTTGTTGTTGTTTTGTTGTTTTTTGTGGTTTTTTTTTTAAAGTGGGCTGAATGTGTTTTTTATTTATTCTTGCGTTAGTGCAAGTGAGCCACCCTCTCCACCCTCTCAGATTCATGTATTCAGGTTCTTCATCCTAGTTTCTGGCATCTACAGATCAGAGGAATTTGAAATCTGAGAAGTTCTATACATATTCAAGACACTTTAAATATTTAATCTTGAATATGTATCTGGAGTATTAGCATAGAGGCGAACAGCCTTGAGCTCAGCTGGTGTGCTTGAAAAAGCTTTAGTTCAGGGGCATATGAGTGAAGTATCCTTTTCTTTCTCAGGCAGTACATCCTTCTTACTACGAGGATACTGCTTGATATATTTCAAATGGGTGTTTATTTTACTTTGGTTTAAAATGGGAAGATGAAGTATGTTTTGCTTCTGGTTTTATCTAAATAACAGATTTAATTTGGGTTTAGTTTTTTTACCTCATTGCAGAACATTGTCATAGCTCTTACTAAAAGAGGAATGTGGTTGGATAGTCTGTCAACTTCCCTTGACAATGTTACAGAGTAACCAGATAACTGTGATTGACATTTCTGTTACTAGGAGTCTCCACAGAGACTGGATTCAACCTCTGCTGGCACTTCTGTCTTAGTTTGGTTGTTTCCTTACTAATTTTGAGGAGCCTTCCTTGAGAAATGGATTTTGGATTTTAAAACGTGCAGCATTTTCTAGTTGAATTATATGGCTGAAACTACAAGGATGCTTAAATGCAAGAATGGGAGCTATGGATTCTTCTGAACTTCAGTTCTGTTCTCAGGTGGTGGGTTTAATAATGTTGGAAAAAATAGCTGCTCATACATTGTAAAGAAAATATGATTCTGATGTTCTAGAGACAAGAGAAATCTTCCTAGTGTAGGCACAGATGGATCAAGGCAAGCTTCCTGCATGGAACTTTGAATGTGTAGGTTAAAAATTCATTTTGTCTTGTCTCTGTAAGCCCAAAACACATGGAAGTAAATCCCAGGTGTTATCAGAATACATCCATGGCATGTGATTTCATCTCTTCCTACATATCTCAAGCATTACATTTCAGAGTTCTTAACTGGTAACTGTTCAGTCAGTGTGGCTGAAATGAGCCCTGTTTTTCTGCAGCTGTGAGTTACAGGCCTAATCCTTGTAGCTTGAGAATATAGGAAAGGGTAGAAGGAAGATTTTAGTCTATGAATTCCTCAGTTAGCTTTGTCTGGCTTTCCAGTGAAATGCCTCTCAGAAGGAGGAGATAGGCCCATCCACTGTCCCACATAAACCATTTCCTGTGCTTTATGTTACCACTGTATATAATTTCTGTGCCTCTAATGATTTCAGGTTTTTGTTTGGCCAACAGAGAATCCCCTGCTCACTTGCAGTACAATAGGACAACAACAAAAGTCCTAATTGAGAAGTGCATTTTTCTGCACAATCAAACAGATCATGGATGTAAATGAAACACAGATGTAAGAGAAAAGATAAGACAGATGCTTTGTAGTCACTTCTGCAAAAAATTACATAACCTAATCCAAATTAATGAAAGGATTATTTTCTTTTTTTTTTTTTTTTTTTTTAATTGGCTTAAAATTCAATATAAAATTCTGCATGTGGACTGTGAGCTACATTAGCCATGCATTGTCAGCTGGAATACCCTGGGATAGGTGCTCTGACATCAAATGCCATAACTGATCTTTTTGAAAAGATGCTGTGTAAGATTTGAGATGAGGACATTTAGAATTTTGCCAGCGAATATTTGATGCTGGAGACATCTTAAAGTAATAATTCAG